GGAGAGATTAGAAATTCAAGGCACATACCTAAACATAATAAAAGCAATATATAGCAAACCAATAACCAACATCACACTAAATGGAGAGAAACTTGAAGCAATCCCACTAAAATCAGGGACAAGACAAGGCCAACCAATATCTCCCTATCTATTCAATATAGTACTTGAAGTTCTAGCTAGAGCAATAAGACAACAAAAGGAGGTCAAGGGGATACAAATTGGAAAGGGAGAAGTCAAGATATCACTATCCTCAGATAAGATGATAATATACATAAGCAACCGCAAAATTCTACCAGAGAACTCCCACAGCTGACAAACAGCTTCAGCAAAGTGGCAGGATATAAAATTAACTCAAACAAATCAGTAGCTTTCTTTATACAAATGATAAATGAGCTGAGAAAGAAATTAGGGAAAACAACGCCCTTCTCAATAGCCACAAATGCTATAAAATATATTGGTGCAACGCTAACCAAGCAAATGAAATATCTGTGTGACAAGAACTTCAAGTCCCTGAAGAAAGAAATTGAGGATCTCAGAAGATGGAAAGATCTCCCATGCTCATTGATAGGTAGGATTAAATAGTGAAAATAGCCATCTTACCAAAAGCAATCTACAGATTCAATGTAATCCCCATCAAAATTTCAACACAATTCTTCTTCCTTCTTGATGAAATATCTTCTCACATTTGCCCCCCCCCTCTTGCTCTCTCCTTTCCTTCCTTCCCTCCCTCCCTCCCTCTCTCCTTCCCTCTCTCTTTCTCTTGTCTGCTGGTATCATAAAGGATTTCTTGCTGATTCTCCCCGTCTTCCTTATTCACACAGTCCCTAAATATCAGATTTTCTTTGAAGTAGGCACTAAGCACCATCCACTTTTCTATCTAGCCATTCACTAGACATATTTATTTCCACTTGCTCCCAGCCCTGTTCAGGTCTGAAAGTAAACATGCCAAATTTCCAGTCTGGTTCTCTCCTCCTAGTTTCAGATTAATGTATCCTCATATCTATTTGATATCTGGGTGGCTTGAATATACTTGGCCCAGGGAGTGGCACTATTAAGAGATGTGGCCTTGTTAGAGGAAGTAAGGTCCACCCAATGTGGAATAGTCTTTCTTTTCCTACCAGTCTTCAGATGAAGATGGAGAACTCTCAGCTCCTCCTGTACTATGCCTGGCTGAGTGCTGCCATGTTCCCACCTTGATGATAATGGACTGAACCTCTGAACCTGGAAACCTGCCCCAAATGTGGTCCCTGTAAGAATTGTCTTGGTCATGGTGACTGTTCACAGCAGTAAAACCCTAAGACAGCATCTCAACATGGAAATTCAAAGCTGAAATTTTTAGCACAACTCTGACCCCAAAGCCCACCTGCTTCTGTCTATTCCTCATATAATACTATCCCTGGAAATGTTCCTTCATGTTTCCAGTGAGACTAACCATTAATCTGCACGTACTTCACCTGTCTTTTTCTGACCCCTCCCCAATCTCATGGTCTCAGAGCCTGGAATATTTCCTCTTAGACCTTTACACTAAGTTTGTCAGATATTGATATAATGTAAAAACAGAACAGAGGTAGTCCAGGATATGAAAAAAAAGCCCCCTGATGTACACAAACTGGCAAACAACAAGGTAAAAGAACTGAAAGATAAGACACTATTTTAGCATTTGCCTGAGATGCTGCAGGGCACAATGATCTTGAAACCTAAATAAGCAAGTAAAATTTTGAAGCTACCTGGTAATAATCAACCCCAACCCCAAACAAGGGACCTGACTATCTCTGGGTAAGGGAAAAGAATGAATGGTGGAGGATAGTACAATAAAAAAAAATTCTACTCTATTAATAGTATGTGTTTGTGCTCAATGGTGAGCACAGTGGGTTCTTTCCTTCCTTGAGCTGTATGTATCTTCTTCATCCATCCTTCTCTGCCTTATCTTGATCCATGAAGCCTGGGAATGTATTCCTCATCAAAGATCTCTTTTGTCTCCTGTCCCTTGACAAGGTCCTGCAGACAGGAAGCCACAGTAGAGTCCAGAGAGGGGAAGTGAAGGGTTGTTTGTTTTTCTCCTAGTACCCTTAGACTTGTAAAGCCTTAGCTCCAGGAAGGTCTCCACACAGCTCTCTCTGTCTTCTCTCTGAACCTATTGGATTAATTATCTACTACTATATAGTAAGTAGTGCCAAGATTGTGTAACTAAAAGAATAAGCATTAAGATTTCACAAGCACTGGGTGCCTTTGAAAGCTGCAAAGCCTCTAGTAAGAGACTCACTGAAGCCTCGGCTGAAGCTGTAGTTACACCTGAAGTCTCACTGGAGGGAAAGCCCAACTCCTTCACATTGTGTTGACAGGTTCTTTCCTCCACAGACAGTGTTGTAGACATATCCCTCTATTTATTGTTCTGAGGAGCTCAGATAATGGCACAACAATGATTTCACTCAAAGCAACTGAAACAAGTAAAACAGAGGCCATAGTCTTTTTGGAATGTTCTCTCAGAGGTGACATTTTTCCTAATCATTGGTGTCCTATTCATAGGAGGCAAATGACCAGGGTAATCTCACAATACAAGAGAATACAAGAAAATCAAAGAGAATACAAGAACAAATCAAAGAGAATACAAGAATCAAAGAATACTTTGATATTTTTTTATTTTAAAATGTAGTTAAGAATCATAAGAAAAAACAGCTACAAGGTAAGTCTGGAAACAAGGGAACCAGAGAGTAATGTACAGTGGGATTGAGGACTAGAAAGACAATATTTGAAAGACTGAGACATCATTTCATTTTCCCAAACAGCTCAATAAATGTAATATCTGAGCAAAGTTTTGAACAAGCAAAAAGTGGAGGCATGCAAAGAGAAGAGAAAAGAATGAGGTTCAAATAAAAATTCCCCATTGTAAGTAGTTCTAATCTCTCCTCTGTCCTTACAAAAGAAATGGAATTTGTCCTGATAGAATGGGAAAAGATAAAGAGAATGGAGAACTAGAAAAGAAGATAAGATAAGAACAATAATGAAAATTAATCATAGCATCTGGGAACATTTAGACAACCTTTAGGGAGCAGAGACGCAAATTCCACTGAAACTAATTACCTTACTTTCAACTTTGACTTTACACTGAGTGTGACTCTAAAGAATAAAACAAATGTTTACCTTTAATGAAATGGTGTTCAAGTAATAACGCACAGCTGTCTCTCAGGTCTCAGAAATCATTCTATTTCTGGCGTTTTCTTGAGAATTCAACATGCTCATCAATCACTGCCAAGCTCACTAATCTGAAGTTTAGCACTAATGCTAAAATAATTTACATTTTTATTAAAATTCTTGTGCTTCCTAGAGAGTTATTTTTATCCCTATAGTATCTCACATGCTCAGAAAAAGAAGTAGAAGGCAAGACTTCACATGTTAGCTCAACACCTGCAGATTTGAACAGGATCTCTCATAGTGCCAAGAACAGGAAAGACTGACTCCTGACTTAACACCCTCCCTTTCTTCCTTCCCCCACCCAAGCACACTTTTCCAAACCACAGCAGAGATAACTCACTTCTGAGATGTCTAGGAATTAGATAGGAGCTGCAGCCTAATAACCAAAGAATGAATGGGTTTCTTAATCCTAATTTTTGAGTGAATGTTAGTGTCCTAATTTTCCACTGAGTCTTTTATTATTATTATTATTATTATTATTATTATTATTATTGAATGATTTCATTCATTTACATTCCAAAAGTTGCCCCCTTCCTGGTCCCCCCTCCCAGAGTTCTTCACCCTATTTCCCACCTCCAACCCTCCTCTGAGAGGGTGCTTCCCCACTGGCCCGTCCACTCCCACCTCACCTTCACCAACATCCCTCTTCCACTGAGGCCATACAAAGGCAGTCCTCTGCTACACACGTGCCTGGGGCCACGTATTCTCGTTGGTTTTTTTGCTGAGTCTCTGGGAGCTCTGAGGGGTCCATGTTAGTTGACGCTGTTGTTCTTCCTATGGGGAGTCCCCCTCAGCTACTTCAGTCCTTCCCCTAGCTCTTCCATAGGGGTTCCAGACCTCAGTCCAATGACTGGCTGAAAGTATCTGCATCTGTTTCAGTCAGCTGCTGGTAGAAACTCTTAAAGGACGGCCATGCCAGGCTCCTGTCTGCACACACACACACACACACACACACACACACACACACACACGGCCTCAGTAATTGTGTCAGGATTTGGGGTGCGTGCATAGGATGGATCGCAAGTTGGACCGGTCACCGAATGGCCTTTCCTTCGGTCTCTGTTCCATTCTTGTCCCTGCATTTCCTTTAGACAGGAACAATTCTGAGTTAAAATTTTTGAAGATACAGGTAGGTGGCCCCTGCCTCGACTGGAGGCCCTCTCTATCTACTGAATATGGTCTCTTCCGGTTACACCTCCCCATTGTTGAACATTTTGGCTAATGTCATCCCCATTGGGTCCTGGTAACCTCTCACATCCCAGGTCTCTGAGACTTTCTGGAGGTTTCCCCCGCCCACAACCCGACACTGCTGCATATTTTAATTCCTCCTGTCTCCTCATACCTGATCCTGCCCCTCCTTTCCTCCTCTTTCCTCTGCTCCCCCGCCCAGATTCCTCCCACCCTCTGCCTCCCATGATTATTTTGTTCCCTTTCTAAGTGGGTTTCATTAAGCTTCCCATGGCCTGTGAGGTGTATCATGGGTAGTCTGAACTTTTTGGCTAATATCCACTTATCAGTGAGTCCATAGCATGTACGTCCTTTTGGGTCTGGATTACCTCACTCAGGATGATATTTTCTAGTTTCATCCATTTGTCTGCAAAGTTCATGATGCCCTCGATTTTAGTAGCTGAGTAGTATTCCATTGTGTAAATGAACCACATTACCTGTATCCATTCTTCCATGGAAGGACATCTGGGTTGTTTCCAGCTTCTGGCTATTACAAATAAGGCTACTATGAACATAGTAGAGCACGTGTCTTTGTGGTATGGTGGAGCATCTTTTGGGTATATGCCTAGGAGTGGTATAGCTGGGTCTTCAGGTAGAGCTATTTCCAATTTTCTAAGGAACGGAAACGGCAACCTACAGATTGACAAATGATCTTCACTAACCCTATATCCAATAGAGGGCTAATAATCTAAAATATACAAAGAAATCAAGAAGTTAGACTCCAAAAAAACAAATAACCCAATTTAAAAATGGAGTACAGAGCTAAACAGAATTCTCAACAGAGGAATCTTAAATGGCCAAGAAGCACCCAGGTGAGAAGGACCCTGAGATTCCACTTTACACCAATCAGAATGTCTAAGATCAAAAACTCAAACAATAGTACATACTGGCAAGGATGTAGAGAAAGAGAAACACTCCTCCATTGCTGGTGTGGTTGCAAACTGATACAACCACTGAGTCTTGAGAATTATTTTGAAAAACATTCACATTCCTGAAACACAACCCCTAATTATCTGATCTGAAGAGTATATTTTAATATCATGGACAATTTTTAAACTGAGTATAACTTCATTGGTCAGGCCCTAACTCATATCTGATAAGCACTTAGACACAGAAGTTTATTTAGGATATAATATAATCACATGTATAGTTCAACTAACTTGTTTTTCCATTAAAGTCACCTGAAACATTTATTATTTCACATTTTACAATTGGCAAATTCTTCCAGTTCTTATGAGCAACCACTTCAAAATACAACAAATGTCACTGGCCATTAAAGCAAAGTTCCCCCAGGGGAACTCACTATCAGCAATGGTGACTCATGATGCTCTTGTTAGTAGGTTCCAAGTGAGTAAGCACCACTGATATTAATAAACCACCTCAGATCATGATGTCGGCAGGGTTATGATGACAGCATCAGCAGCATAATGATACCTTTTAGTCTGTGTTGAATAGTCAAGCATGCCTCATTACTCCCTCCCGAGGATTACTCATTCAAAGAGGATGACATTTAATTCATGTTTGTGTTTTAAATGGTCACCCATAAAACAATATTCAAAGAGTTGTGATGGGAACACAAAGTCTATTATGAATGATAATGTTAACTCTCCACTTGGCTTTTTTTTTTTAATACAGCACAATTTTGACCTGAAAATGGACTTTGCCTTGACTGTGGTACACTGGAATTGCCAAGAGGGTTCCGTCCTTTAGAGTTCAGAGTCCCTTATTACCTGGAGAGAGATCACAGAACTACAGAATAATACGATGATATATTTGAAAAGAAAGGCTGGTACATTTGATTTAATCAAAAGATTATAAAATGACATCAGCTCATTCAGATAAGAAAAATGACATATTTGAAATTGGACATCAAACAAAAATTATACAAGGAAATTCCACCAGTATAACTATGTGATTCTTCTTAAAATATCCACTCCTTCACCAAATGTATATAAGCTCACCAAATATTTATTAAACTGTACTATCATGTTCTAGGCACTATACTGGATACCAGGAATAAAAAGACAAGCTCTCACAGCATAAACTGAGCTACTCAGCCATGTCTTCCCCACTATGGTCGACTGTTGTCTCTGAAACTGTAATCAACCTTTTTCTTTCTTATGTTGTTTCTGTCAAATAATTCACCTCAGTAATCTGAAATTGACTATTATACAAGGTATGAGGACTGTCTTCAAGACAATTGATAACAATCTCATCTTTAAGGGAAGAAAAGAAAAGGAAGGTGTCTGTCTATGTTTGAAGTTTTATCTTAACACATACTGCTAATGTTACTTCAGAAGAGAAATAAAAGACAAATTAATGTTCCATGACTCTAATGACAGATAACATTGAACTGATAAACAAAATAACAAAACTAAAGTTTTGATAGCCATACCCCATCTCCTCAAACAATCAACCTCTCCTTGTCTTAAAGAATCAACAAGACATAAGTTCATCTATCTCACCTGAAGCTCAGGTGTATCAATGTATTTATTGATCCCACAAGGTGAGAATAAGACCACTATCACAGTTTTTAGACCAAATCTCCAGCAAGCTTTATTAAATACTGGCCAGAACTATGGACACTGACCAGATCCATACTCAGGACTCCCAGAAAATAGCCACAAATTATGTTTGTCCAGTGCTTATATAGGCAAGCCACACAAGGATAAATACTTCCTGCCTTTGTCCAATCAGGGGCAATCGTACATCCTGATGTACTTCCTGCCTACATACCTCCTACCTACATGTTATCAAGCACATGCTGTGTAGTTGGGGCATCTAACCTTGTTTACAGAAGTGAAAGCACATGGTCTTCATAAACAGGCCCCCAGCATTCGAGGAAGTTATCAGTCCTCAAGCAAGTGGGGTTTACAGGTTTATCTATCCGTAGGCTGAGATAACTGCCTGACTCCATTTTGAAGGCAGATGCCATTATGCTGTATTGTTAAAAATAGAAAATTCCATTTACTGTAATAGCTGAGTTGTTGTTTTTAAGTCTGTATCCTAGAACCTGACTTGTCACAACCCACTACATTGACCTGCTAAGAACACCCTTACCCAATATGACAATGGCCAAGAACTGGGAAGTAGGCTTCAGGCAGGAATCTGACATTAGGCTAGAACAAAGAAGTAATTTCAGTCAGGAATCTAAATCTTAAGCTAGAACAAAGAAGTAATTTCAGGCAGGAATCTAATTATTAGGCTAGAACAAGGAAGAAGGCTTCAGACATGAAAATGATTTTGGGCTGGGACAGGGAAGTTGGCTCAGATATTTTGGTCATCCTGATAAGCCCTTAGAAATAGTGATCAAGGGAGTGTTCACATAACTGGGTTTAATGCCTTGCTTGTTCTTTGACTATTTGTGTTTATTGTCTTGCTTGTTCCTTGACTATTAGCATCTATTGTATTGCTAGACCCTCAACCTAGATCTGACCTTAATACTTGCATGTAATTAAAATGGTATAAAAGCAAAAAAGGATGAGGGGGATGGGATACAGGGTTCTAAGGAGGGGAAATGAGAAAAAGGGGATGACACCTTAAATGTAAATAAATAAATTATCCAATTAAAAAAATTATAAGGAAAGACAACATGTATGAGAAGGTAATACTTTTCATTTAGTTTACCTCATATAAGATTTTATTTTTAACCAATTATATGGTCTATTTTGGAGAAGGTACCATGAGATGCTGAGAAAAAGGTATATTCTTTTGTTTTAAGATGAAATGTTCTATAGATATCTGTAAATCCATAATTCAGAAGTTGCTTCATAACTTCTGTTACTTTCACTGTCTCTCTGTTTAGTTTCTATTTCCATGATCTGTCCATTGCTGAGAGTGGGCTGTTGCAGTCTCCCACTATTATTGTGTGAGGTGCAATGTGTGCTTTGAGCTCTAGTAAAGTTTCTTTTATGAAAGTGTGTCTTCTTGCATTTGGCACATAGATGTTCAGAATTGAGAGTTCATGTTGGTTGACTTCTCCTTTGACGAGTATGAAATGTCCTTCCTTATCCTTTTTGATAGCTTTAAGTTGAAAGGCAATTTTATTTGATATTAGAATGGCTACTGCAGCTTGTTTCTTAGGACCATTTGCTTGAAAAATTGTTTCCCAGGCTTTTACTCTAAGGTAGTGTCTGTCTTTGTCACTGAGGTGGGTTTCCTGTATGCAGCAAAATGCTAGGTCCTGTTTACATATCCAGTCCATTAGTCTATGACTTTTTATTGGGGAATTGAGTCTAGAAATCAATCCAATATTGGAAATAACAGTCTACACTTGGAAGGCTGGATCTGGACATTTTCAGGGACATATTTAAAAGTTAGCTGTAGTTCACTACGATGTTATGATAGCAGTGATAAAGTTGGGACAGGATCTGGATTTTAAACAAGGGTTAGTGTGTGTTTTAAGGCTCTTTTAATTGTCAAGCTAAAATTGGTTTTGTCTCTTCTACAATATTTAATGTAAGTTGAATTGACTATATAATTTCCAATTGTGTTAGTGTGTTGAAACCTGGCATGTCTGTTATGGGTGTCTATCAACCAGCTTTTAGCTTACTGCCCTGAGTATTAGAAAATCTTGATTCACTGAGAAAAGCTTGAAAGTGCTGTAAGAAGTGAGTTAGGTTTTAAGCAGAAGCAAGAAAGTGGCAGGCTTGATTATTGCTAGTATAACAGCTTTAGTTTCATTAATTGCTAGCACCACTGCTTCTGCAATGGCATTGATACAAGGAGTTAAGAGAACTATTTTAGCTAACCATCTAGTAAAAAAATGTTACTAATATATTGAGTATACAAAAGGATTTAGATAGGTATCTGGAACAACGGATGATACTCTATAACCTATTCAAATTACCTGAAGGAGGTTGAGGGCTCAAGAGTTAGGAGCCATCCCAAATGTCATGACAAATATCATTGGAGTAGTATTACTTCTAAAATTTACAATGATTGTCATTATAATTTTAAAAAAGTTTAAAGACACCTGTAGGGTATTTGGCATAATCCTAACACCTCTCTGGGTGTGTTAAATTTGCATAATGATATTATGAATTTTAAAAATGCTGCTCTGTTGAGCTTTGATGCTGCAGATAATGCCAATAAAATTATCCATGCCCTGAGGTCAGTATTTCCATTCTGGTCAAACTTCAGGAATAGCATATATAGCTTGATCAGGCTAGTTCTTCTTGTCCTGGGAATACTTTTATTCCTGCCCATCATGTTAAAGCTTCTGTCTAACTACATCAAAAGGCTGGCAGCCAACGTACATGACTTGAAACTGATAATGGACACCTAGACAGAGTTATTAATTTAACAGGCTGGCAAGCCAAGGATGGGTAAGGTTCTGCACAGAGCCTTACCAACTTAAGACAGAAGTGCATTGCTTATGATAATGCATATTCCACGACGGGTAAGAAAGACTTTCTTGTCAGAACAATCTAAGACAGTCTCAGTCTGGTTTATGCAATAAAAAGGGGGAGATGTGGAGAGCATTTGGGGCTGCCTGGCAGGAATCTGTCATTGGCCAAGGAAAATGGACTGCTTGGAAGGAATCTGTCATAGGCCAAGGACAAAGAAATGGACTGCAGGCAGGAATCTGACATTGGGCTAGAACACAGAAGTAATTACAGGCAGGAATCTAAATCTTAGGCTAGAACAAAGAAATAGGCTTCAGGCATGAAAATGAATTTGGGCTAAGACAGGAAAGTAGTCTCAGATATTTTGATCATCCTGATAAGCCCTTAGAAATAGTGATCACAGGAGTGATCATGGGACTCTGTTTATTGTTGTGCATGTTCTTTAATTATCTGGGTTTATTGTTTTCCTTGTTCCTGGACTATTTTCATCTATTGTATTGCTAGTTCCTCAACCTATAACTGACCTTAATACTTGCATGTAATTTAAACAGTATAAAGACAAAAAAGGAGGAGGAGGGATGGGATAGGGGATTAATGGGTTGGGGGAATTGGGAAGGGGGATGGCATCTGAAATGTAAATAAATAAAATATTGAATAAAAAAGTGGAAAAAAGATATTATTTTTTAATATTAACATTTTCATGATTTGGGAATACAAAGAAAACAACACTATTTAATATTCTGCTAATTCATTTAAAGTTTATAATATGCTATTTGCATAATCTATAGATAGAACTTTGACTGTTTATGACTATATAAATGTCTATACATGCTCAAATACATTAGTAGTATTTAGTTAAGGCATATGGATACATATATGTTATATGTAATGTTTGAATGTTATATATGTATAAACATGGAATTACCTTTACATTAACGGTTTAAGGTATGTTCATAACATATTGTCAATGTGTAAAATAACCAATTTTCCATTGAAAAAAGCTTATAACTTCAAAGTTTGCTGTAATAGTTAATCTGAAACCACATTTTGAGCTTCAAATTTCACATAGTCCTGAGACAATGAGAATTAAAAAGGCAAATGATATCTAAGTATTCCTTAAGCAGAGTTAGGAATTACCATAAGGATGATTTTGATAGTTTCCTTGAAAGAAAGAAAGAAAGAAAGAAAGAAAGAAAGAAAGAAAGAAAGAAAGAAAGGAAGGAAGGAAGGAAGGAAGGAAGGAAGGAAGGAAGGAAAAGAAAAGAAAATTTACAAAAAAAAAAAAGAACACTCTTACCCTTCCTAACCACCCTCCCTAATCACATGGTATTTCCTGAGATTTTTCTACACTCCTTATCGCTCCATTTCTATCTTCTATAAACTTGTTTTGCAACTACTTGTGATTTTATTCTTTAAAAGGGGCCAAAAAATGAACTCAGGCTACTCTGTTTAACTAGATGTAGGAGACAGTTGCTGGCCAGCTCTTGGGTGCACTTCAATAAAAATCAAGCTGACTGGCCCCACCGCAGCACTCAGGAGAGCAGGCCCTGGAAGTACTCCTGGATAACACAGTAAAGCTGGCCTGGGGTTAAGGGGAGCAGGTGAACTGGCCGAGAGAGAGAGAGAGAGAGAGAGAGAGAGAGAGAGAGAGAGAGAGAGAGAGAGAGAGAGAGCACTGACCCTGCTCCTCGTGTGCTTGGCAGTGGTGTGGGTGAGGGAGAGAAGCTCTCTCCACCCTTTGCCTAGGGCAAGCAGGAGAGCTGGTCCTGAGGTCATGAGAAAGAGGTAGCTGCCCATGTCCCTCGCTGGCTGCAACACTCAGGAGAGTGGGCCCTACACCTCACCTGGGCAGCACAGTAGAACTGACCCTGGTAGCTAAGACCAGGATCCGATCAGGAGAGCTGGCCCTGCCACTTGTCTGTTGTGCATTGGTATGGGTGAATGAGAGATGTCCCTCACCCTTCAGCCTCACCCCTCACCCCTTACCCCTCATCCCTCACCCCCACCCTTCACCCTTCACCCCTTACCCCTCACCCCTCACCCCTCACCCCTCACCCCTCACCCTCTGGAACAGGCAGGAAAGCTATCTCTGGATTTGTCAGAACAGGAAAGCTGGCCCAGCTTCTCATCAGCTACAACACTTAGGAGAATGGGCTCTGTACCTTTCCTGGGCAGAGCAAATAAAGCTGGCTCTGGTGGCATGGCCAAGGGTGAGTCTGCCCTGAGGGCATGAGAACTGGAGAGTCGGCCCTGCCCCTTGCTGGCTGTGGCATAGGGTGAACTAGTCAGGGCAGTGCTAAAGAGCTCACCCTAGTGGTGTGAATGCAGGAGACTTGGTGGTCTGACCACCAAGTGAGCTTGGTGAGCTACCTCCCAGACCCAGATGCAGGGCTTTGAGTTGGCCCACCCTATCTGTGAACTGCTGGAGCTCCCGAAGAGTCTAGTCCTACAAATGCAAAGCTACAGGATCTCCATGACAACGGTAGAATATCCAAGAGGAATCCCAGTGAGGACCTGGTATTTATAGTAGAGAAGTCAGAGACCTCAAACGAGACCAATGACCAACTATAAAGAATATTTGCAAGTAAAGTTGTGTGGACAAAAGGGTATGCTGTGAGACACACTACAGCTTACACAGTGAGATAAATGTTGGATTTGGCTAGTTAGTTGGGGTTTTTTGTGGGGCAGGTTGCAAGGACAAAAGATGATTGTGAAGGAATAGGGTGATGAATAGGATTTGGGGGTACATGGTGTGAAATTCACAAAGAATCAATAGTTACAAAAAGTCAATCTTGCTTCAAATTTGACTCAAAATTGTGGTAGCAGTCACACAGTCGGATTAACAGGGCAGCTGGGACTTACAAGTTAGAGGCATTTTTGTTTCATAGGTCTCTTAAGCACAGTCATTAAAACTCAAAACATAACTTTAGCCCTCGCAGTACAAGGACTGGTGAGGAGATAGCACATGTGTCTGTGTCTGTGTCTCTCTGTGTGTGTGTGTGTGTGTGTGTATGTGTGTGTGTGGTATAGAATAGGATGCCCTCATTAAACATCAACTTCAAATTATCTCTGACCCTTTCTCCTCTATATCCACTCAGTTGGAACTTGGAAAGTGAGATAATGATAATACAACCCAAGACAGCTGCGTCTCTTCTTTCATTCCATGGTGGGGTTTAGAGGAAGGTGTTCTTGCTGATCCTAACCACCTATGGTATTGGTCCTGGTGGATAAATAAAGTGGGGGAAGAAGTCACCCACATAGCCAAGCCAACTCATCAGACTTGGCAAAACCCTGATGAGCCCTCAATTTGATCAAAACACTTAATAAGTAAACACTTAAAAAACAATTGGCCAGAAGCCATTCTGTAATAAGCATTTGTGATTCTGCAAATAAGTTCCTCTTTGCCAGATTCAGGGTTCTCAGAGGATCAAGGCTTTTATGGACTAAATGTTTATATCTCCTTCGTCAAATTTGTTTGTTGAAATTACAACTTCAAGAGAAATTACTTTAGAGGGAAGGGGGAGTTTTAGCAACATTAGGTCGTAAAAGTAGAACACTCTTGAATAGAATTAATCCCCTTAAAGGGAGACCCCGGAGTCTAGCTGTGAGTGTACAAAATGGCAGTCTGCACCCTGAAGCAGCGTTGCTGTGGTCACCACATACTGGCAGCCTCCCCTCAGTCCCACAAACTTCAAAGCGATGAGGAATCAATTTCTGTTCTTCAAAAGCCACTTTGTCTGTCGGTACGCTATTACAGAAGCCCAAACTAAGAAGGGACCCAGTGTTCCACTGTCTCTACTGTCTGGTGCCGGTGTATTTTCTCCTCATGAGAAAGTTCAGAACTAGGCTATAACTGAATAAAGGTTCCTGGAGGGATGGTACTGAACTCAAATATTACCTTCTGCTGTCTTTATTTTATATCTTTGCACAGATCATACAAACAAAATAAAGGACACCCCAGCATAAAATGACTTCCATTTCCAATGCCGTGCGATCTCACAGTGATGCCTGAGCCGCTACGCACTTCCCCACATAGTGAGATCTGCTTGCCATCAACCAGGTCTGAGCTCCCAGGAGCAGGCTTCACGGCTTCTGAAAATTGAGTTGAATAAGAAACCAGAATAGATGGCCACCTATCACTTCACTACCCCTGAATCAGTTATATTATAGCTATGGCCATGCTGTGATGGGAGATAAAAATGAACAGGATGGTGACCAGAATACGGCCAACATAGGAAATAGAAAGCGTCTACTCTAATTGAAACAGAATTTCAAGGTTCTCGAGCTCCAATGCAAAAACAATAGGATCAAAGTCTCTCCCGCACCCTCCTACTTTTAGCGCTAGCCGCATGTCAAGACCTGGGAAGCTTTTCAGAACACGGTCAGTTTCATAAACATTTGTCATTTGACTGACATTTCTTTATAGATAAAAAGTGTTGCAGGGGATGAAATATATACATATTTCTGGAAATCGTCATACATTTGAAATTTTCCAACAGTCCACAAATGAAAATTCATAAGAGACCGTGTCGAAAAATCTACCGTAGAGAGAATCAAGCATCTCATGACCTAAAAAGAAATTGCTTGAGTCCACTTCAGGTGTAGCTTCATTATCTTATAAAGTTTTCCTTATAACTTTTCTCTATGTCATACTTAAAGTGAGTAGGAAAGTAGTTAAATTACTGACACTCAACTGCCCACGTACTTAGAAAACGCGTTTATTTTTTTAATTTTTTATTTGTTTTTTTTTCAATAGGAATATCTGGCCTTCTGGATCCAGAATTGAATTCTTTTAATGCTATTTTAACTGCTATGTATATCTAAAAGGTGGGCTTATCTGGCGTTCCACTGGAGTTGAAATCTGTAACTCTATCTGGCACATGTGGACACCTAGTTTTTCTTGCTATATGCTTCTTAGAAAACATCCACTCTATATATCATTCTTAGCCCCTCAGATAAGAAACTGGGTCAACCATGCTTCATTTTTTTTCCTTCAAAATCACTGCACTTGAAGCATTGGGACAAGAAATCCATATTTTAGTTTATATTCTGCATAGCTTCTACTTGTTTCAATTATAAGTTCTATATTACAAATAAATCAATTCTAATTTTTCTCCAAGCCAAAACTGCTCAAGAAAAATTTCAGTGATAGCAAACATTGATCTTATGTGAAAACTGAAATAATTTGAAATTCATCAGCTGACACACTCCTTCAGCCACGCGGTGTTAGGAATAAAATACTTCTTCATAAACCAACCCAAATTCTACAAGAGTGCTACTGCTACCTCATGCTTCCAAACCAAAGATTGCTTCCTTTAAACACAGTGAAATGCTTTATGTTATGTAATTTGCTGTGTATTCCAAATTCACCCATCTTTTCATTAATATTACTTATTTGGTGAGACCTACTGAATTATTTCAATTAAACAATATAAGATTTTCCACATAGCTTATCATGCTTTCTTTATAGCTGAAAAAGTATGCTAACCATTATATTTGGTCTTCAGTTTCTTTTAATCCTAATAACTTGCATATATATATATGTGTGTGTGTGTGTGTGTGTGTGTGTGTGTATACACATATATATGCAAATATATATATATGATCTAATTGTGTGCATTTACTTAGGAATTAAAGACCTCTGACATCAATTGTATCTATTATTATAACTGTTTTATTAATGGAGACAGGAAAAGGCCAGTGAGTTGGACAAATTTGTGGGAAATTAAAGATACAGCATTTGGGGCGGGGGAACTCCTGTTCTGGTCTCTCGCTTTGCTCTCTTCTCCAGATAAGATGAGCTTCACCACCCGCTCCACCATCATCTCCACCATCTTCTCCACCAATTACCAGTCCCTGCGGACTCCCAGGCAGCGGGTCTGGCCTGCCAGCAGGTGCTGGGGACTCCGGGTCCCCAATATCCGTGTCCCGCTCTGTCTGGGGTGACTCTGTGGGGTCCGCAGGCCTGGCGGGAATGGGTGGAATCCAGACGGAGAAAGAGACCATGCAAGACCTGAACGATCGTCTGTCCAGCTACCTAGACAAGGTGAAGAGCCTGGAAACTGAGAGAGCAAAATCCGGGAACATCTGGAGAAGAAGGGGTCCCAGGTGTCAGAGACTGGGGCCACTACTTCAAAACCCTATAAGACCTGAGAGCTCAGATCTTTGTGAATGCTGTGGATAATACCCGCATCGTCCTGCAGATCGACAATGCCCGTCTTGCCACTGATGGCTTTAGAGTCAAGTATGAGACACAACTGGCCATGTGCCAGTCTGTGGAGAATGACATCCATGAACTCTTCAAGGTGATAGATGACACCAATATCACAAGGCTGCAGCTGAAGACAGAAATCGATGCGCTCAAGTAGGAACTGCTGTTCATGAAGAAGAATCATGAGGAGGAAGTCCAAGGTCTGGCAGCCCAGGTCGCCAGTTCTGGGTTGACTGTGGAAGTGGATGCTCCCAAATCTCAGTACCTCAGCAAGATCATCCACGCCGAGTATGAAGAGCTGGCTCAGAAGAACCGCGAGGAACTAGACAAGTCCTGGTCTCAGCAGATTGAGAAGAGTATCACAGTAGTCGCCACCGAGTCTGCCGAAATCAGGGACGCTGAGACCACACTCACAGAGCTGAGAGATACCCTCCAGACCTTGGACATTGACCTGAACTCCAAGAAAAATCAGAACATCAACTTGGAGAACAGCCTTGGGGACGTGGAGGCTCGATACAAGGCACAGATGGAGCAGCTCAGTGGGGTCCTTCTGCACCTGGAATCAGATGTGGCACAAACTCGGGCAGAGGGGCAGCGCCAGACCCAAGAATATGAAGCCCTGCTGAACATCAAGGTCAAGCTTGAAACGGAGATCACCACCTACAGCCGCTTGCTGGGGGATGGGAAAGATCTCAGTCTCAATGATGCCCTTGCCTCCAGCAACTCTATGCATATTGTGCAAGACCGTGGATGGCAAAGTGGTGTCCGAGACCAATGACATCAGAGTTCTGAGGCATTGAGGCTGAGAAGGAGGGAACCCCTGGGGACTGAGGGACCAAGAAAAGTTGGGAGTTAACTGGAAAAAAAAAAAGGATACAGCATTTGGACCCACCAACCCTGTATACCTCTTCTGGTTAGTGATGGTTAAAGATTTATATTCTAAAATGAATTATGTTACTACATCCTCAAAAC